GTGCAGGGCAAAGAAGTTTTATTAAAACAAGAATCCCAGCTGTTACATGTCCAGTCTTGATGTGATCTTGGGTATCTGGTGACTGACCACACACCGTTCTTAGTCTACATGTCCGGTCTGTGATCTTGGCCAACTGGAGACTTACACACTGTACTGAGTCTACATGTCCAGTCTGTGCCAGTCTGTGATCTTGGCTATCTGGTGAGCACACACCCTTTTAAAATTAGCTCCTGTATTGGCTCAAAATTGGCTGAAAGGGAAAGTCCAAGACTGGAAAGTGTGGCGAGAGATGGCCTATAGAATCGCCGAGAGTCGGATCCGACTGACCGGATAACGTCATCATCATCATTGGCACAATATAGTCTTGAGAAAGACTGCCAGACTGATCAGATCTCCATCACTAAACGGACCCTGGTCTGTGTGGCTTTCTAAATAACTAAAGTTAGAGAGTTTATCCGAAAACGTCCCGTTTCTATTCCCTACTGGATTCGCTCTGGCAGGGAGAAGCTGTTCCTATAGAAATGTCCCGATGCGATATGGGTTGTTATCAGGCCGTCGGTATTGGACACTTCAAGTAAGGGATTCACGATTCAGAGAACTGATTACAGTTATTTGGAGGTGAAAACGACAGGGTAACGTTGCAGCAACGCAACTATCACGTAGGTTTACAATCGTGGCCGTGGAAAACCACGATTACGCTGGAAAACCCCACGAGATGTCGCTTAATCCCTGTATGCGTCGAACCGCGTCATGGTCCGAACGGATAACGCACAAGACGATATGCATGTCCTCCAGTAATTACATATGTGTGTTTCCTCCTCAGTACACCCAGTACAAGATGAGTAGAGAGTGAAATGCTTCATAATCCACGATTTTTAGCTCGAAACGGTGATAAATCTGTGGCCGATTTTTTTCAAACAAAATATCGGACTACCGTTTGTAACTACACTTTGTAAAGCGCTTCGAGATGCCGCTTAGACGGACCCCCCTCTCTCAGTTTTCTCGTCAGTGCCCCGGTCGGGGCCCTCTAACTGAGGCCGAGGACCTCGAACTCACCTGCGGGCGTTCTCGAAGGAAAAGCCGCCGGTCGAGGGGAGGTCGGGCCGCTCACAGCGGAGCATTGTTGCGGACAGCGCGGAGCAGGGCGAGATGCTGGGTCCCCACGGTACAGCGGGGAGACGGGTTTTCGGAGAGGAGGGCGATACGGACGGCTTGGGTTTCTCGGCCGCTTGCTCTGTAGCTGGACGCGGTCGTGCTCGTCTCGGGTCGGCAGTGTGTCAGCGTTTTAGCTCGCAGAGACGCCGAGACTTTCGGTTTCATTTCTGGCACATGGGTATGCTGATGGACTGCAAGTTATCGAGGAAGAAACGCTTTGAAAATACGGCGTTTCTATAAGAACGCTGTTCTTTTTAAATTAATATCAGCTTTACAACAAGTATTGACATGACTCTTCTCTCCTTTATACTCTTTCCACATCACTAGACGCGCTAAAGTTGAGAAAGAATACACGCTTTGTCCATTTTAAAAGTTGAAGAACAGAGTTGAAGAAACACCTTACAATCCCCTTTAACCTACAGTTAACAGTCTGGTAAAGCGCATGTACAGTCCAGTAAACTATTGTGAGATCAGGGTAAAAGCACAGTATGGTGCAGTAAATCACAGTGAGATCGTGGTAAAAACACGGTAGAGCGCAGTAAAGCCCAATGAGATCAAAGTAAAATCTTAGTACAGTGCAGTAAATCACGGTGAGATCACGGTATAAACACAATACAGTAAATCACAAATAGATCAAGGAAGAATCACAGTACAGTGCAGTAAAACCCAGTGGTGTTAGGTTAAATATGGACAGCAGCCATATCACCTGCAACTCACAGCTGGCAGCCCATTGAAGCTTAGCAAGTGTGAGTCTAGTCAGCACCTGCCTGGGAACCTCCTTCGAAAAACCAAGGTTGCTGCTGGAAGAGGTGTTAGTGGGGCCAGCAGGGGGCGCTCACCCCACAGTTGGTGTGGGTCCTAATGCCCCAGTATAGTGATGAGGACTCTATACTGTAAAATGGCGCCTTCCTCCGGATGAGACGTAAAACTCAGGTTGTGACTCTCCAAGGTTATTAAAAATTCCCAGACTTCTTCCCGAAAAGATTGAGAGTATTACCCTGGCCAAACCCCCTGGCTAAATTTCCTGTTGGCCTGTACCAATCATGGCCTCCTAATAATCCCCATCTCTGAAGTGGCTTCATCACTCTGTTCTCCTCCCCACTGAGAGCTGGTGTGTGGTGAGAGTACTGGTGCATCATTCAGGTGGGGCTGCACTCTGGTGGTGGTGGAGGGGAGTCCCCACTACCTGTTAAGTGCTTTGAGTGGAGTGTCCAGAAAAGTGTTATATAAGTGTGAGGAATGATTATTAGAACTAGAGGCCACTCAGTGCATCATGATCATTTGGTTACTGGCCTTGCTGGGAACATCCCCCCCACCCCAAGTGTGTAACCAAAAAAGTTTTAAAAAGGTTGACAGCAGCCATTAAAATCTAATTTGCATGCCTTTTTGGGTGAGCCGTGGGAGAACATGCAGACTCCACACATACAGGAGCCCAAGACCAGGCTTGAACCCAGAACCTTAGAGGTGAGGCTGCCGCGCCAACAGCCACACCGCAGTGCTCTCAGGTCAGATCCTGAGAGCCGGCCACAGCTCTTATTACGCCCTTACACAGGGACCTGCGGTGAGGAGTTTAGGCATCTTGTAAAAATCTTGGGCTGCACAGGCAGTAAAGGAAGGAGGGTGAAAAACACATTTACCTCTGCAGTGACTCAGAAGGACCTGTGGGGGTCAGGTCCCTGCAGACACACTGACCACCCCTGTGGTGATAAAAGTAATCATTCACAGATCCGTGGCATTTTTTAATTTAGAAGGCATAAAAACAGAAGAAAACACCCTAACAAGTGGAGGCCATTCAGCTGGTAGTTAGTAAGTAATCTGTACAAGCTGTGTAAAGGCTGGGTACTTGCAGAATCCCTCATCCCTTTGGATAAAGACGTGCCTGCTGCTGTCAGAATGAATTGCACTTCCACGTCTTTCGGATCACCGGATTCAAAGTAAGTAAGACAGAGAGGCGGATACAATATCTGCGACAAAAAGGGAAGCCAGCCATCATCATAAACTTTATTTTACATAGAAATACCTTTTTAAAATTGGCTTTGCAAATCGTTTTATAGATAAAAAATACAGAGTGTGAGAAGACAGCAGAATTACAGTTACAATAAGAGTTTGGAATACAGTAGGAAAGCAAAGGAGCAGACACAGAACTAATAAACTAAGACGGGTACTGAGGTTCCAAGCCATGATGGGCCTTATCGGGGAGGAAGAGGATTTTGAAGTTGAGATGAAACCTGACAGGAAGCCAGTGCAAGGAGTCCAGGAC